TGGGTGGCCTAGTCGGTTAAGAGTCCGACTTTCGCTTAGGTCATGATCTCGCGGTTCGTGGGTTCGAGCCCCGCATCGGGCTCTGTGCTGACAGCCAGTTCAGAGCCTGGAGCCTGTTTCCAATTCTGTGTCTCCCTCTCTCTCTGACTCTCCCCTGCTCATGCTGTCTCTCTCTCTCTCCTAGAAATAAATAAAACATTTAAAAATATATATATAAATACTCATATACACTGCCACTTCTGGAGTTTATACCAACAATGTGGATGGAATACTGCTAAGGAAATAATAATCAGGGAATAACCCAGAAAGCCTCCTGGCAGCCAACAGATGTCCCAGTGCTCATACATGGAAGCCCTCCTAGGCCAACAACTAGAAGCAGAGCACTGGAAACCTAGTAGAAGAACCTCATGAGGATCTGTTAACGGAAACAATAAAGCTCATGTGTTTTACTGCAAGGAGAGTCCTTCTCCTGCAACCTCATTCCTCTTTCCTACCTTACACACTAGTCTTGGAAACATTCTAATCTGAATTCTAATCTTACAGATCAGAACGTAGTATTGACTCAAGAAAGTTCATTTTTGGTGAGCTAATGAAACTTGCAAGTGACAATAATAAAAAAAAGTTTTGGATAAGAGACAAACCACATCATTTTTGGGGCCAGTGTAGGAGCAAGTGATGCAGTACAACTTGAGTTCATGAGAATGACTGTGGGGCTAATGGTTATGTTCTACACACTGTTAAGAATGCGACATATTTTGGAAATATTGTTGCTTAAATATTTCTCCAGATATGTCTCTTCAGGCAAGGGAGACAAAAGGAAAAATAAACTATTGGGACTATGCCAAAATAAAAAGATTTTGCAAAAGAAAACAATGAAAAGGCAACCTACTGAATGGAGATGTTTGCCAATGGTGTATCTGAAAAGGAGATAATACCCAAAAAATATAAAGAACTTACACAACTTAACACCAAAAAAACCAAACAATCCAATTAAAAAATGGGCAGAGAAACTAAACTGATGTTTTTCCAAAGAAGACATACAGATGGCAAACAGATACTTGACAGTGCTGAACGTAACTCATCATCAGGGAAATGCAAATTAAAACCACAATGAAATATCGCTTGCACCAATCAGAATGGCTAGAATCAAAAAGGTAGGAAATAATAATTATTGGCAAAGGGGCACCTGGGTGGCTTAGTCGGTTAAGCGTCCGACTTTCGCTTGGGTCATGATCTCGCGGTTCGTGGGTTCGAGCCCCGCGTCGGGCTCTGTGCTGACTGCCAGCTCAGAGCCTGGAGCCTGTTTCAGTCTGTGACTCCCTCTCTCTCTGACCCTTCCCTGCTCACGCTGTCTCTCTCTCTCTCCTAGAAATAAATAATAAAAAAAAAATTATTGGCAAGGATATGAAGAAAAAGGGACCCTCATACACTTTTGGTGGAGATGCAAATTGGTGCAGCCACTGTGAAAAACAGTATGGAAGTTCCTCAAGAAAATTAAAATTAAAAACACCGTATGATCCAGTAATTCCACTATTAAGCATTTACCCAAAGAAAACAAAAACAATAATTCATATGCATCCCTGTTTATTGCAGTGTTATTTATAGCAGCCAACATATGGAAGCAAACCAAGTGTCCATCAATCAATGAATGGATAAAGATGTGACGTATATATATACATAATACAATGGAATATTACTTAGTCATAAAAAAAGAATGAGTTCTTGCCATTTGCAACAACATAGATGGACCTAGAGGGTATTATGTAAGTGAATTAAATCATGCAGGGAAAGACAAATCCTGTATGATCTCACATAAGTGGGATCTAAAAACACAATGGAACAAACAAACAAAAGCAGAATCTGACCCATAAATACAGAGAACTGATGGTTGTCAGAGGGGGAAGGGGTAGGTAAAATGGGTAAAGGGGAATAGAAGATACATCTTCCTGTTATGGATGAATAAGTTATGGGGATGAAAGGTACAGCATAAGGAATATAATCAATGGTATTACGATAGCCTTGTATGGTGACAGATGGTTGCTGCACTTGTGGTGAGCATAGAATAACATATTTGTCAAATCACAATGCTATACACCTGGAAGTAATGTAACATTGTGCCAGCTGTATCTCAATTTTAAACAGTTTAAAAAAAATTTTTTTAATGTTTATTTATTTTTGAGAGAGAGAGAGACAGAGTATGATCCAGGGAGGAATGGAGAAAGGGAGACACAGAATCTGAGGCAGGCTGCATGCTCTGAGCTGTCAGCACAGAGCCTGACATAAGGCTTGAACCCACAAATCGTTAAGATCATGACCTGAGCTGCAGTCGGATACTTAACTGACTGAGCCACCCAGATGCCCCTTAAAAAGTTGTTTCTAAAAACTAAATTTTTAAAAATAAAGTTTTTAAAATAAAATAATAATACAGTATTGTTGCTTAAAAGGATGAGTTCTTAATCATTTGGAAAACACAGCTATTCAGAAAAATGACCTGCCTGAGGGTTTCAAACAATTCAAGTTTGATAGATACTTCAAGCAGATATTAACAAAAATTCATTTTACTACTGTCACTCATGTTAAAGTGTCCTCAAGTAGATGTGTTAATTTTTCTTTTATTTTTTTAAACTGTGGTCTTATCTTTGAGATAGCCCAGAGCAGACTCCTCCCTAGCCCCACTTCACGATCCATGTATCTGTAACTGGCATGAGAGAAACAGGTAGTATGCTTGGTAAGAAACTTCACATCTTACAGAAAAATAAAAAATGAAAAGTACAAGTCTCCTTCCTAACTTCTGCTTACCTCCTGTACCCGAAAGACATTCAAACATGACAGATACAGACACACCTAGTTCCTCAGCAATAAGCACAATTTTGTATGCATTCTTCAAAAACAAAGGCATATAAACACATATTCTTTAGGAAACACAGTCACCATGGAGTTTATCTGTTCCTCAGTCATCAGTTTTCACTTTTAACACATAGTGATTCTTTATCCCTTCAAATTCTGAAAATTAAGCTTAAAAAAACTTCCCCAAATTCTACTTCCTACATATTCTTTTCCTTTGTCTTAACAACAAAATAAAACAGAAAGCTGAAAAGAGTGTCTCAATTTCTAGTATTGATAGATTTCCTACCTGAAGGCAGCAAGAATAGTAATTTCTTTTTCTCTTACAAAACTTTGGTTTGTAAGTGTAACTTAAGTTTGTCAAAGGATACATTTTCCACATAATTCAATTCAAAATGTAATTGGGTATCTACATGCAAAATACTAAGCTGTGGACAAGGCAGACACAGTCCATACCTAGGAAGAGCTTGGTGCCAGTGTGGTAGAGGGAGGGAAGACAGGGAAGACAAACACTGTCATAACTTACCTAAGGCTGAAGAGGAGGCTGGGGTCTTGCCTGGTTAAACGAATAAGACAGCAAATGGCTTTCCACTGATGGTGATGCAGACTTAGCACTGTTTTCTTTTTCTTTTTTTTTTAGTATGGTGAGTTTTGTGCCTCATCCATGTGAACGGACACAGACCTGTTTCTGCTGGGTTTATTTCAACATAAATGATAAATAATAAGTGCCACTGCCTGGCATTTCACAGTGAGGATGAAGTTTTAACACCTCTGCTCAACTGTTCCACAGTCAGCACTACTTCCTATCTCAAGTTGGAGGAATGGAATTCGGCACTATTGTATTTTTATTTCATTATTTTGTTTTTATTTATTTTATTTTATATTATTTACTCTTATTTTACTTTTAAAAAATTTATCAGAAGTAGGCTCCATGCTCAGGGACACTTAACTGACTGAGCCACCCAGGCGCCCTGGCACTCACTCGGCACTTACTCCACTCACTCATTTGCTTCCCAGGCTCCTTCCTGCTTCCTCATCACCACCTTCTTCACCCTATTTTAAGCTCTCTGACCTTGACTGCTTCCAAATGATTTTGATCACTACTAGATGACAAAGGACGGTGGACCTGAATTAGAATAGTGCCAAAAGCCTGAAAAAAGGGAAGTCAAACAACAAACAGTACTTTTTAATCACTGTGCAGCTCTTTTCACATGGAATCTTGCCTCTGTAATTCTTTAAAACATTCTCCTCCTACCTAAGGTAGAATAGGGGTGTAAAACGGGGGGGGGGGGGGGGGGTCCTACCAAGACCATAAAGATAAAAAAGAAATGATTAGAATCCAGCTGCTATAAAAAAAAGAAAGTGAGGAAAGATTCAATAAAGATCCACACTTTAGAAAAGTACAAAACTACATAATAGCTCTGGAGAGATATATAATTCCACGCTGTCTTCACAACAAAGATGACAGTGTGACAAATAATTCTGGTATAAGTATCTTAGAGTAGTCATTATAAGAACTGTTTTCTTTCCAAATAAGCCAGAACTCTAGTGAATCTACCAACTTGTCCTTCCTCTTATCTCCATGCCTAGAGTCCTCTCATGGAAATAACAAAAGGTCAGAAGGAGAAAAAGGTACAAAATGTCAGCATGAGCAATATTTTTCCATCAAGTCAGGCATTTCTATATGTGAACACATTTGTGGACTTTTCAGAGAAATGCCTTCTTGCTTTGGGGCTGAATCTGCAAATAAGGCACTCAAATCACTAGATAACAGTATCCATATGAAAACAGAAACCATGTAAAACTGAAATGGTTACTAAATGTAGATGTAGTATTAGCTTATTCTAATTACTAGAAGTCTGAGAGTACATCACTTACAGACTGCTTTCCTCCCAACCCCCAAGAGAGAGCATGAGTGAGGGAAAGGGGTAGAGGGAGAGAGAGACAGAATCTTAAGTAGACTCCAACACCCAGCGTGGAGCCTACGTGGGGCTCCATCTCATGACCGTGAGACCATGACTGGAGCCAAAATCAAGAGTCAGACGATTCACTGACTTAACCACCCAGGTGCCCCACTTATCGAGTGCTTCTTGCTGCAAAATATAATAATTTTAGATGTGAAAGTCATCCATCTATGATGAAAATTCCGGACTACATTAACAGTGGATAAAATATTTATTGTGATTTTTTCTCCTGTGACATAAGATTGTTTATTTTTCCCAGCTCTCCAAATGACACAGTTGCTGAACCTCTTTCAGCTGGTCTTGCCTGAAAATAATGAAAGATGAAAGATATTAGAAATAGATAAGTATACAGGTCTAAACTAAATCCCTTAATGCCATCATATATTTTTTAAATCCCCTACCCTATGTAAATAAAAACTAGAAAGTAAATGGAAACATGAAGCCACTAAGAAAGGTGATTCGTCTTAATAATATTACCTGTGAATCATGGTATTTCCATCCTATCATGTAATAGATTTGATACGTGGCAGGTACTGAGCCATCCTCATTTCCGTACATTTCTACAAAGACAAATAATAGTTAGAATCTGAAAAAATGAAAGTAGGAAAAAAAATCTGCTCAATGAAAGGTCATGCCCTCCAAAGAGAAATGGATACTGAGATACTGGGAGGGCTCTGAAAATGCTTCATGTGAAAAATCCTCAACACTGAGAAGCTGACAGCTATGACTACAGTAAGGGCTCTTTGGAAAAAGGATATGGAACTACAGGATCTGTGTTCTGAAAGGAAGGACAAAAAAAATCTGATGACGCTTTACAGGAAAGGAGAAAGCACTGGCAATTTGAAGGGGTAAACATGGCAGGGCACGAGTTCCTCGGTGAGGCATGGGTGGAAAGGACGCTCAGCTCTCTTACCTCCATACACCGCCGCAGCCGCCAGCATCGTGTCTCGGTGCAGCAAGGCTTTTCTATTCCAAGCACAGTTACTCTCACCCATACCTAAAAATACACTACAGTTTTAGATAATACCGCCAAAAGTCTGAGCCGCTCAAAACACACACCTCCTTCTCATCCAACACTATACCCATCCCGATTCTCTAAAACAGACTATAGTCAGGCTTCTTAGTGACTCTAAGGCCAAAGTACTTGAAGCTTCTGGATAGTGAAACCAGTGAGGAAGTGAATTTCAGCAGGCAGGCCCCATAAGCATGTGTTACTTGCCAGCAATGGTCTAAAGCAGGCCAGCTGGGCGAGAGTACGGCAACCGGCCCTCTAGGTGAGTCATCAGGAGTTGGCACGTACCTTTTCAAGGATGCCACATTTTCTGCCCCTTTCAGCTGCTCTTCAGAGGAGGACAGGGCACTATTAAAATGGCTACCTCCTTCTAAGCCACAGATGTCTGCCTGACCATGAAACTTGGGAGATGGCTTTGAGACTCATTAGATAGTACTGGAACTACAAGGTGTTTTCAGATTTTACAATATTTTACTAATCCCAAATTAGGAAAAACTTATGTGTATTCTTTTCAGGGGCACTTTTCTTAATGTTTTAAAATTTAGATTTCTGGGGCATGTGGGTGGCTCAGTCGGTTAAGTGTCCAACTTCAGCTCAGGTCAGGATCTCATGGTTCGTGGGTTTGAGCCCCGCGTCGGGCTCTGTGCTGACAACTCAGAGCCTGAAGCCTGTTTCAGATTCTGTGTCTCCCTCTCTCTCTGACCCTCCCCTGCTCACGTATGCTGTCTCTCTCTCTCTCTCTCAGAAATAAAAAAACATTAAAAAAATAAAATAAGATTTAGATTTCTTTCCTTCAAGTTGATACCTAAAAGCTAGGATTAATAAATACCCTTCTATTCTTCATTAAAAATTAATGCTGTATATTTGATTTTTTATGCACATATTTAAACAAAAATACTCTGAAAGGCCACATTTTAAACTAGTCCACAAAATCAAAACAAGTTTCAAAAGTAAAAATTCTTTATATTTATTTTCTATATACTACCCAATAAAAAAATCAGTTCTTACTTTTGTTTTTCTACTTTCACAAAATAAACCAATAAAATTCCCAATATCAGTTGTTCTTTAGAAGTTTAAAAATAATCTTCCAAGTTTTCAAAGGCCTTATTAAAAACAATCAATATATCAGCTGTAATAAGTGAAATGTTCTCTTCTCTCCAATCCCAGAAAGTTCCTATTTCTTAAAGTTATGAATCTCTGGTATGAAAAGCAATGTCCAGAGTCCTGTGAGTACAATGGCCCCAATTCATGAAGAACAACAGACATAGAAACTAACAAAGCAATCATCATGAAGCAAAAGGTGGATCTTACTCTGTCACAAAGCAGCTAGATGACCTCAGACCAATTGCTTTGGGTCTTCAAGGTGGCCAGACTAGATGAACTCTAAAGGCTTCTAGGGCTAACATTATAGACCCATTACATAATCTCATTTTAAAACATTCTCCTAAATTGTGAGTATCAGCCAGATCAAGTGACCAGAGGTATACTGGGAGTTGGACTAGGAAGATTTATTGCTGTCGATGGCTGCGCTGCTTTCATTTCTGTTCACCTTCCCAGGGCCGTGACTTACTATACATTAGATATAGGCAATATCAGTGGAAATCAGGTTTAAATTATTTAATGTAAATACGTAATACACTATGAGAGTGGGGCCAAGGGAGGGGAAAAATACTTAATATGCTAAAAATTCTAAAATACCTTTTAAATAATTGGTATTACAGACCCTAATTACGATTATTAAGCACAATGTTAAGATATGGAAATTTGAGAGCACTACTACATAACATAGTAATTCTGCTGCTGGGGCAGCACCTCCTTGCCTCACAAGAGAAACACACCACCACACCCATCCTCCTTTCTCCTCATAGAAGCAGTTCAGTGATGCGGGGCAGAAAATCTAGACTTGAAGATCATAATCCTAGTTGTGAGCCTTAAGGAATCTTGGGCAAAGTCACTTAACTCTAATTATAAAGTCAGTTTTATCATCTTCAAAATGGAATGCTAACACTTCATAAAGCGTCATGGTGGACCACCTAGGAAACACTTTAAGGGACTTCTGACCAGCTCTGGGCTTTGGGATAACATAAAAATCCAGGAAACAGGTAAGTATTTAAGACTCTCACAGTGTTTTTAAGGTTAAGTTCAACTGCTTGCATAAAAATCTAATTTATTATGCATTAGGAGGAACAATACTGAGTATGATCTAAAAAAGCACAACAAAAAACTGAACTTACCTTAAAACTACTGTGAAAGCCTCCAAAACTTTTCATGCATTCATCAGCTGATACACAACTTGTTTTGTAAAATTAGGTCAACATTCTGGACTTTTTTCTGTGAATTAATAATAATGGCAGCTTAAATGAGAAACACTACAACCATCATCAAGAAAAAAGTGTAACAATATAAAATACCAGAAATGAATTTGAAGGTATCACCATCTTCCAGTAGGCAAAGCAGCATGCCTGGAAGTAGTCACCCAAGCTCTTCCCCTCCTCCCTTCATCCCTGCACCACTCTCCTTCCCATCTCAGCTACCTCTAACCCCTAGCAGGCAGAGTGGTTGAGATTTTGGGATCTGAGTTAGGTTGCTATACTGGACTTAAATCCTGGCTCTATCACTTATGATATGTCACCTGGTGCAAGTTCTTTCTCATGTGTAACAAGAGACATGAACCACGCTAGCTCTAGTCCTATCTTCCTCATAAAGTATGCCTTATAAACAACGCTGGAGGGTAAGCTTTTTAAACTTTTTAACGTTTGTTTATTTTTGAGAGAGAGAGCAAGAGAGTGAGCGAGCACAGGCGAGAGGCAGAGAGAGAGGGAGACACAGAATTCAAAGCAGTCTCCAGGCTCTGAGCCTGACGTGGGGCTCAAACTCACAAACTCTGAGATCATGACCTGGGCCGAAGTCAGATGCTGAACCAACTGAGCCACCCAAGCACCTATGGAGGGTGAGCTTTTTAACATACTGATCTGATGGTCTCTCCTGTGCATGAAATTCTCTCCACACATTACCAGGCTCACCTGATAAAATCTAGAAGCCTCTGGTGGACTATTCCGCATCATTTCCATCATCTCTCCATTCTATATATTCAAGCAATACAGAATTACTGTGGAGTTTCTTAATTAGCAAAGTGAAGGAAGTGCGTATCCTCTTGCATCTCCATGATTTACACAGACCATTTCCGTGGCCTGGAAAGCAATGCCCCGAAGGCCCAAACCTGCACCCACCCATCCAACTCTCCTGGCAAACTCAGTTTAGCTTAGATCTTGCGTCTTCTATAAAAGCACCGCTGACTCCCTAAGCAGATCTGGGGATTCCGTTTTTCTGTACTTTAAAACACAATGATTTCATTTTATAGTTAAATGCCAATGTCTGTCTATCTGTGTCTCTAGCAGAGCACAAACTCCCTGGGATAAGGGATTATGTATTTTCATCACTGACTCAATAGCTGGCACATGGTAGATGTTCAATAAATGGTAAGTGAATGAATATAAAATCAACCAGTTAATGCTGTTTTTTGTTAAATATCACTTTTACAAGTTATCTTTAGATAACACTTCTTAATCCTCTGAAGGATAAGACACTCAAAGACTACAACATATGATTTATGTAAAAAGCTTTACAGTAAAAATAAAAGCAGCCGAGGCAAAGCCTCTTAAGGTAAATATTTGGCAAGAGGTCTTCAAAATATATGACCTATTTAAAACCCTTGGGGGAGGTGGAGACTATCAACCAGGTAGCATTATCAGGCAACCTTCTGAGGCAGCTGGAAATGTTCTACTTTTTGTCTGGATAGTGATTTAAAAAATACAAGTAACTATACAGTTAAGATTAGAGCATTTTACTTGCTAGCTTTAATGGAAAAAAAAAATGCACACAGATCAAGTAGGCAGTATTGGACTTTGGATTCCAGATCCAGTGTGACCACGGACAAGATATTTAACTTCGCAATGTCTCCATTTGCCAATCTGTAAAATTAGGATATCAGAAAACCTCACAAAATTGCACCCAGCACAGAGTAAGCTCTGTATTTTTAAATCAGTGGGCAGTAACCTTTTCCAACTGATACATCTAATTTCTAGTCCCTTTCTTGCTTCTCTCTTGAAATGAATCATGAGCACAGCATTTATTATATAGAATAAAAATAAATGCTGCATTTGAGAAATATTTTTATCGTTAGAGTCTGAATGATACATCATCAGCCCACCACCACCTCTCTAGCCTTTGGATGAAGGGCCCCATGATTACATCAAGGAGAGCCAAGCGCTTGGGGTAGTGCTTGGGAGGGGGTGTGTGATTTATTACTGGTCCCCTGTCATCTTAGGCATGCAAGCTATAGGCTACCAATCCCTGTATTAAATTTTAATGAAGAGTGACTCTAATAGTTAAGTTTTCAGCTACATATCTTTCCCCTTATAAAGACAACAGAAATACTGTTGCCAGAGAAGGCTGGATGATGGGTAAAATGGACTATGGTACAAATGGGTACACGAAAGAAGTAGTTGAGGGAGGTAAGAGAATGCCAGAGCAAGAGTCTGGCACCTAATTCTGCCACTAACAGACAAGTGTCCCCTTGGGCCTAATCCTCACTTATAATCTAGGGACACATTAGTTAGCAGATGTCTACTGAGAGAACTGCAACAGAGTGTAAGAAAAACTATAAACCTATAAGCAATTGCAATCCACTTATCCTTATAATTCTCTTGCTTAAATCATCTTCTCATTTTTCAGGATCAGATTAAGGTTCCCCTAGGTAAGCACAGTTCTGGTTTCAAAGAACACACCTTTAATCACTTCAGCTTCTCTCATTCATCAAAACTGCCTATGCCATTTGTGTAATAAGCCAAACCTCACAATTTCTTAGGGAAGTTGAAGCTCTCCTTGGAGGAAATCAGTTCTGCAGAAGCCCCCTCAGTGGCAGATATGTATGTCTGCATACCTTACCTATTTTGGGATGTGGAGACGGGGTTTGTGTCCTTGTTGCTCCTCAAAGCCTCCTTCAGGCCATTACCCCTCTAACTTGTTAAAAACCATTGGGCTGCTGAGAACACCACTATTTGGCTGGCCCCCTCTCCCTCTCTTGCTTGCTGTCAGACACAGACGTCAGATTCCCAGTGCCTCTCCTCAATCATCAAAGGGTTTGGCACCTCAGCTCCTGTCTGTACCCCAAGTCCTGCCACAACCCTGGGTGACTTCAGTGTTTTCACCGGTACCATGGTCTCTAAGATATTTTAGTCCTCCCTCTCCCAGGCAATGGTTCTCCATTACCCTGCCTCCATCATCGCATCTGTAACACGTCCAGACATGTCCCTCTTCTATAGTCACTGTACATTAGGTTCCTAAAGGATCAGCATCTGGCTGTGTTCTCTTCTCACTTCATAGCCTCATCCCAGGAAACTGCTTCAAATATCACCAATTCACAGATGACTCATGATATTTTAACCAGGCAATTGCCTCCTCTAAATGACATACCCACACCCCCAACCACCTACTTGACATCTCCTCTTAGACATTTTACAAGCACTTCAAACCCAAAATAGTCACGTGTGAACTCAAGAGGTGTTCCTGCCCATACTTGGTCTTCTACTGTTTCCTCTATCAAGGAAGGCACACCATCTAGCTCTCTCCATTCACCCACATGTAATCCATCAGCAAAGACTGTCAAATTTACCTCCTAATTATCTCTAGAATCCATTTACTTCTCTCAATCTCCACTGCTACCATCTTAGTCCAAAACACCATCATTTCTTTTCTTTTTTTTTTAATGTTTATTTATTTTGAAGGGGAGAGAGAAAGTGCATGTGAGCAGGGGAGAGGCAGAGAGAGGATGAGAGAAAACCCAAGCAGGCTCCATGCTGTCAACTCACAAACCATGAGATTATGACCTGAGCCAAAATCAAGAGTCAGACACTTAACCCACTGAGCCACGTAGGTGCCCCCACCATCATTTCTTAATAAGCTTCATAGCAATGAATCTCTCCCAACTAAGATCTGCCAATCCAATTTTTTCAAAATGCAAATCTGGTATCGTGACTTCCCTGTAACTCCCCTCCATTAAAATGCTTCAAGGGGCATTTTAAGATAAAGACAAATCATCTCAATAGGGACGGTAAGTCCCCCATTTACTCACCAATCTCATTATTTAATTCTCTTTTTATTCCCAGTACTCTAGCCAAATGCCCTGCTTTCAGTACTTACCATGCTCTTTCTTGCCACAGTCATTGCACATGCTGTTCTCCCAGCCTGTGAGTCACTTCCCTCCCCTCTTCACCTAGTTAGCTCATCTTCATCTTCTAGAGCACAATCACCACTTCCTCAGACAAGACTTCTTTGACTCTCAGACAAGGACTTATCCTTTTGACAAACCCTACTCCTACACTAACCTAACTACCTGCCTTCTTGTGCCTGGACCCAAGCTGCCAACTGTTGCTGGAGAAAGTCACCGATACACTCTACCAGCTGCAGACATACCCTTCAACAGAGTCCTATCATCCTTTTATAGGCAGTCACAGCACTCTGTACCCCAATTTATGGCACTTCCCAGGATTCTAACTTAACATTTATCTTCATGGCAGCTGTGTGATATCTGCCTCACCCATTTTATTTTATAAGCTCCATGAAGACAGTCTTCTTTCTCCTTGCCAATGTATCCTCCTTAGTGGTGGGCCCCTGAGCCCGCCAGAGTCTCCTCTCAAAATATGACTCTCAAATGGAGTCTAAACATTCTTTAAGGTGCCTTACCTTGTAAATCTTCCATCAATTCAAACATCCCAGGATAGTTAACTTGAATTTCATCAGTATCCTGTTTAAAGTGAAAAAGGAATATTCATTTGACATGTATCATTAAAAACCCAGATTTGAAAACAGGCCATAGAGATTATCCAGAACAATCTCTCATAGTAAACAGGAATCTTCTTTACAATATTCTTCGTAGATGTCTTCTGATTTATGCTTGTTTTATGAAAATGTCAAATTGCAGAATAAATACACCAATCTAAGAGAAATTTTCCTAAAACTCCATCAACTGGTTCTAGGTCTCTCTTTGGGAACAACATAGAAAAAGTCTGTTTTGTATCTGCAAACCATCACCCTCTTCTTCAAGTTTTTGAAAACTCTTTCAGGACATTATAATTTTTTAGGGGGAGAGTTAGTCCCCTGGACAAAATTTATAGATTTATAGATCCTTACACACCCTCACTGCATTGCTCTATACGTAGTCAATATCAATCTCCTAAAAAGTGGCACCCAGAACCAAGCCAAATAGGGTCATCTCCTAAGATGTTTCCAATGTACTTCTAGGAATGCAGCCATACTGCACTGGTTCACTTGGGAGACAGGCACACCGCTGACACAGTTTATTTCTCAAATGGACTTCTGGGCAATTATGTCCCATTCTTTCTGAAGCCTGATACAAGACTTTACAATTGATTGTTACAATGGCAGAGACCACTGTGTTCCCCAAATATCCGGTGCTCCTTGATACTTCCCAGCCCCTGAAAGACATTTTTTTCTGGTCAAAGGAAAGGAGAGAGCAAGGTCATAGAGAACTAGTGATCCTTTTCCAAGCCATCCCTTTTGCTGAGGTAACTTCAGAAGATGCAAGAGCCAGATGGCACAACCATGGGATAGAGATGGGCTGCCCAATCAGCATGGGGCTGTGATATGATAAAAGTGTATGTTAAGCATGAAGATGTAGGAGTCTGTCTATATTGGGAACTAGTCCCCAAATACAGGACACATATTTGTTTTTTTGGTTTTTTTTTTTCAAGTTTGATATAATGCAGCATGTATCTGAAACGTGAACTTATTTGCACTAATCACTTTGTAGTGTCTAGATCTTTCTGTGTTTTGTCATTTTGTTTAATGTATTAATTAATTCCTCCCAATTTTGTACTTTAACATTGCACAGAATTAAGTACAAACCCCAAAAGGACACTTATCAAAAACATCTATTCTGGGGCGCCTGGGTGGCTCTCAGTCAGTTAAGCATCCAATTTCGGCTCAGGTCATGATCTCACAGTTCGTGGGTTTGAGCCCCGTGTCGGGCTCTGTGCTGACAGCTAGCTCAGAGCCTGGAGCCTGTTTCAGATTTTGTATCTCCCTCTCTCTCTGACCCTCCCCTGCTCATGCTGTCTCTCTCTCTCTCTCAGAAATAAATAAAACATTAAAAAAAAATTTTTTTTAAATCCATTCTAATTCCTAGAGAAATGCAAACAAAATAACTACTTTCTTTTTAACCTTAGAGATACAAAGTACAAGCAAGGTTTTGCATATACTGTTGACAGGGCACATAAATTGATGCTACTTTTGCAGAGTCATTTGACCCTGCCAAAATTCCAATGTACAGATTCTCTGACCTAGTAATTCCACTGCCAGAAATTAACCTGACAGATATGCCAAGATTATGTGAAATGAAATTCACTGCGACATTGTTTGAAATAGCTACAAAACAACAGCAGCAAAACAAAACAAAAAAATGGAAATAATCTAAAAGTCTATTAATAGAAAACTGTTTATATAAATTGTATCTATTTAATGAAATACTATACAGCTAGCAAAAAATGTGGTAAGAAAATAAAAGTAATAGAGTGTATATTTTACTTTTTAAAAATATTTATTTTTGAGAAACAGAGAGGCAGAGTGCGAGCTGGGAGAGGAGGGGGACGAGCAGAGAAAAGAGAGGAAGATGCAGACTCTGAAGCAGGTTCCAGGCACAGAGCTGTTGGCACAGAGTCCAATGTGGGGCTTGAACTCATGAACCATGAGATCATGACCTGAGCTGAAGTCAGAGAGTTAACCAATTGAGCCACCCAGGCACCCCAACAGAGCCTATTTATTGTTGCATATGTAGGTTTAAATAACATAACTGTATTGTGGCCTATGATTTAAAATTGTTCTGAAAGGGTATACAAGACAACAAAGATCATCTTTGGGGTGAATGACCAAAGCCAGGAGGAGACTTCTTTTCACTTTAGACCTGCTCTGTTCATCTCATTCTATTTATATACCTTTTTATTTCCTTTTTCTTGCTAATATATACATGATCATCTTCTGTATGCATCTCTGGGTAGTCAATTTCTTCTCTATATTTTTCTACACTGAGAAGCTATTTTTTAAAAGAGATCATAAGATTGAAAACAAAATTCCTTACAGCCTGATACCTAGCCATTAAGCAATATCCTTTGAAAATAATCTTTCAATGAAACTAAAAGCATTATCTCCATCTCAATCAAAAGAATACCACAATAGCTTTGTCAAAGTCCTTTGTTAAAGTCAAATTAAGATGGACCACATCTGCAGTTTTTTCCTAATATATTAGTATTATAATATATTAAACCGGCAACTCTGTTTTAAAAGGAAATGAGTCTCATTCAGAATGTCAACTAACTCTGAAAATAATTCACTAAGAAAGTCATATAAAGGCAATATTGATTTAACTTGAAAATAAACATCCATTGCAGTGTAAAAATAATATATCTATGTTGTATGCAACATAAACCTTTGTAGCTGATTATATAAAAGCTTTTGGGGATGGAATTTTTAGAAAATACATTATGATATATTGGTTATACAGCACATTACAGGCAGTGTATATGTCTCAAGAAATAAATCTGGATAATTTATTTATAAATCAGCAACTCCATTAATTTAACAAACCATAAAGAAGATTCCACACCAATATTTTTGTATTATCTTAGTGTTTGAGTTATTCAGCTCATTTTTTAGAGAAGAATATAGAGGATATTTCCATAACAGATTTCCCAATTAACAGAAATGTAGGATTTTAAATGCTTTAATGTTAGGTTAAACATTTTTAATAGAAATCTAAAATTCAGTTTACACTTCTAATATGGTTAATATTGATAGATATAACCTACATAACAAAAACTCTCTAAGGTCCTCAATAATTTTAAGTGTGTAGCAAGGTCTTTAAATCTACTGTGGTCTAGACACTTCATCCCCTTTATCTTCATACTAACAGCCAACTCAGGTGAGAAACATTTGAATTTTTTAAAAAAAATCAATGTTCAGAGACGTGAAGTAAACCCCTCAATTCCCCTAGCTACTAAAGGGGCAAAGTAAGGAACCAAATTATAGCTGTCAGATACCAACGCCCTGTACCATCACTGTACTGTGATGACTTCATGTTTCTTCTGAGTGTACAGGTCCTCTTTCTAGGTCTCTCCAGCCCTAATGGAGTATAGCCACCTTTCCTACATTCTCTACCCTGGATCATGAATGAACATACCTTCATTTCTGCCTCGTATGGCAATATTTCAGTTGAGGGCTGGTGGGAGATGCAATACTGTTAAGTGCTCCCCTTTTCCTGATCGTCTGAAATGCTCTCTCATATTGTAACAATGTAATATTCATTACTCTGGATCTGAAGATTCTAATGCACTGGAATAGCAGGTCTTAGAAAACAACCTTCGGGGCGCCCGGGTGGCGTAGTTGGTTAAGCGTCCGACTTTCGCTCGGGTCATGATCTCGCGGTTCGTGGGTTCGAGCCCCGCGTCGGGCTCTGTGCTGACTGCCAGCTCAGAGCCTGGAGCCTGTTTCAGTCTGTGACTCCCTCTCTCTCTGACCCTCCCCTGCTCACGCTGTCTCTCTCTCTCTCTCCTAGAAATAAATAAAACATTTAAAAAAAAAAAAAAAAAAAAAAAAGAAAACAACCTCCATGTTAACTTAGGTTTGGGTTTTTTCTGAGCTACTTATTTAAGTAACAAATAGTAAAAATTTTATGTTCATACCTGTGTCAGTCAAGATACGTTTATACAAACTAAATTTAAAAAGAGAAAAAAATGCTAAAACCTTTCCATAATACCATCAATACCTACAGTTTTCTATCTTTAAGATGAGAAGTTCTATCTGAATTCTGTGATGAATGGGTTAATGAAAAGTAATTGACTCTCTTGATAGTTACCACAGTCAGTGTATTAAAGCCAGCTCTCCCAAGCAGATGTCCTAGGTCATTGACAGCAGTGAAAGGAGACACGTGTGGAGAAAATCCTCCTTCCCTTTCTGTTTCTGCTAACTGTAATGAACACCGAAGTTCATAGAGTGTGTCACCTCCAAACATTGCACCAATAAATACTCCATCTGGTTTTAAAACGTAATGAATCTGTAATAAATACAAGACAACAAAACTATTCAAAATTTTACACAAAAAATGTTAAAAGGATAAAAATATGTTAAAAAGAATAAACATATGGTGTCTGAATCAATATTTTTATGATTACTATTCTTATTTTGTCAAATAATCAGAAGAGTTAATAAATAATATCTAAGGCAACCAGGTCAGAAAGGCACTGCATTATTATATTACTGTAAAGATAGATGATAATTTATTGACAGTATTAATACTTATTGGTGTTAATAATTAATAATTAATTGATACCCTTAATATCTACAAAATATGTTCTATGTATTCAACTTTTCTAATAGACACAAATTACTTTTATAACTATTTTGTTTATTTATTTTCAGAGAGTGCACCAGTGTGCACAAGTGTGGGGGAGGGGCATAGAGAGAGGGAGAGAATCCTAAGTAGGCTCAGTGCTGTCAGTGCAAAGCCTGACCCGGGCCTCAATCCCATGAACCATGAGATCATAACCTGAGAAAAAATCAAGAGTTGGATGCTTAACCAACTGAGCCACTCAGGCACCCCACAAGTTATTTTATAATCAGAAAAATACTGAAAGCAAAAAAGTTTAAAGTGTAGTGGATCACAAAAATCACAAACCTCTATCTGGGCCCTTTAAATGTCACTTTGTAACAACTCCCATCAAAAGATGAAGTCTACTTCCCCTCTCCCTGAATCTGGGACAGCCTTGTGACTTGCTGTGGCCAAAAGAATGCAGTGCAAGTGACAACATGCCAGTGTCACACCAAGGTCTGTAATGGCCTTATAGGATTCCCTGTGCTACCACCATGTTGTGAACAAGCCTGAGTGAGCTAGTCTGGTAAGGAATAAGAGATAGGAGGAACAGAAATCAGTCAGGCATCCCAGCTAAAGCCATTATTGACCAGCCAGCTTCAGGACAATCTAGCAGCAGATCACAGACACATGCATGAGCCAGGCCAGACCCAGAAGAATTTCCTAACTAAGGCCAACCCAAATTCCCAACCCACAAATTCATGAGCTAAGTAAACTGTTGTTTTAAACCACTAAGTTAGCCTGTTATGCAAAAAAAAATCTAATTTAAACAGAAACTATCATGATTCACCACACTAATCTAATCAAATATTAGTTTCCTATAAGGAGAAGTAACTTATTTCCCAGCTTTACAACAAAAACAATTTTTAATTGATAATTTAAGCAAAACAGTGGTTGCAATGGATTCCAGAATCACAAATGTTTACTCACTGACTCTCTTCTTAGAATTACCATCTGTAAATAGATCTGACTCTGACTATTCTCAACAATGAGGAACGTTACAGGAAAGGGTTGATTCTGAAGTAAACCCAAAATCATAGTAGGCTCTGCTAACCAAAATACCCATCTTAAATTTATAGTTAATATATCATGAAACCATTACAAAACAGTATACAAGTAAATCAATCGTAAAATCTTGGCTTTCTTCCCCTCTCCCCCTTTGCTGTTGCTTCCTTCTCTTGTCACCTAGCAAGTATCAAAGAGTCACTCCTCAGCTCTTTGCAGCTTCTCCCTACTTCAGAGGGCTTATCAATTCCCATGGATTTCACAGGATGACTTCCCAATCACTATCTTTAGCCTGGACATCTTCCCAGAACTATAAACTCATTTTCATCTGCCTGTGCCATGGACATTTGTATCTTGGCACTCAACCACCCAACACAACCAACATACACATAACACTTATTCTCAAACCCATTCCCCTCTCTAATTGCCATATTTCTGTCAATTACCATTTTCTATTCCCTTTATCTGATCATTACCATTCCTTCCCCTACTTTTACTAATTATTTTCCCAGGCATCCAAATTCAAAACTTTAAGGTGAGTTTGGACTCCTCCCGGTCTTTGATCTTCAGATCCAACCAGCCAAATGGCTGACTCTTCCTTTACAGGAGTCCAAAATTCTCTTTCTGTTAATTCTTGCTACTGCCACTAAGCTTTAGTTTCTCTCATGCCTGGATGATAGACGCAATCTCTTTAATTGAACCAACTTCTGGAATCAGTTTTCCAACTAGCAAAATGAACACATCTTACAGAGTTATTTATTTAACACATATAAAACAAGACACAGTGATTAGCAAACAGTGTGTGCTTACGATATGGAAGTTATCCTGCCCATCAGCCTTTTAATTATGTTACTTTCCTCTTCAAAATTCTCCAGTGGCTCTTAAATGCACAAAGAATGGACTCTAAATTCTTTTATCTGTTACCCAAGTCTTCCTAAATTTGGTCCCAAAGTTACCTCATTTCCCAGTGCTATATTCATCTCCAAAGAGGCTCCTTCTCTGTTCTTTCATGTTCGTGAGGCTCTTCTACCACCTCCATCCTGTGAATATGAATTCCCACTCCAAATCTGAACTATCTTAAGGCCCTGCTCAAGTAATTCCCTCTTCTTGAAGCTTTCCTAGGCCACCCATGACCCAGTGATTTCCCTCCTCTGAACACAGTGCTCTTTACTTACTCCTCATAAGTTCACTGACAAATGCCAACCAACAAATGTACCTCACTCTCTCTTAGTATAAGGTGTAGGGAAGATACAAATACAAACAAATAAGTTCCGACCCACAAAAAAAAATTTATAGACAATTAAGAAAAGGAAACTACACAGAAAATGTCCATTATCAATGTGATGTCAATACTATTCCAAGTTATTTTGGACAATATATAGGCTTTCATACATATTTAAAATATTTCCATAATTAGATTTCTTGAATTCCTAGGCAGGGGGGAGTCACCCAATGTTCTGTTCTGTTCTATTCTATTCTGAGAGACAAAGAGCATGAGCAGGAGAGGGGCAGAGAAAGAGGGGGAGAGAGAATCCCTTGGGATTCCCAAGCAGGCTCCATGCTGTCAGCCCAGAGCCTGACATGGGGCTTAATTTCACAATTCATAAGATCACAACCTAAGAAGAAACCAAGAGTCAGACGCTTATATAACTGAGACACCCAGGAGCCCCCAATGTACTTCTTAATATGCCAAAAGGCATCAGATGTATTTGGCCCATAGAAGATAATAAATACTTGATTTGCTTTCATTTCCAATCATCATAAGGATAAAATGGAAAACATTTGTAAGATTCTGGTAAAAACAAATTTTGAGAAGTTTCTAATAATGACACAGCCTATTTGAGTAAACATTACATTTCTTACCTGTTCAAGTGCTCTAGGAAGGTCATTCACCCAATGTAAACTAGAATATGAAAACATATTTGTTTAGCTTAATTCATATAATTAGTGTAATTATCAATTAAATAAAGAAAAGCCACAAAAAAGGAGTTAAGTTTGAAGTCTGAAACTGCATACCAAAATTCACTATTTTCATATAAATTTTAAAGTGAAGACTATTCCCAGGGGAAAACCTTCCTTGTGTCATGCTAGAAAGCTTGACAGTTCTATAAATACAAAAAGTATTTAAAACTTAATTTAGGGAATCTATTTCATTTTGTTTTACTCCTATTCACCCTGTCCTAGTGCCTGGTGATATGTGATGGCAAGAATCATAGTCTCTGTAGAGTATGGTCATACTTTCCTGACTGAGGTAGCATCCTCTCATGCTGCCTTCCAGGATGGCAATGAATGCCCATTTCAAACCATACTGTGTTAAGATCACATTTATCTTTCATAATGCTTTCTGACAACTTTTAGATGCTTTAAAAATTAAGAATGTTATACCATATTATAACCTCGATCATGCTTATGGGGAAACTGAAAGCAACAGAATTAGGTACTTGCAAACAGCAAGCAGAGGAGCTAAAAATCACATTCTGACTCCCTGCCCAGAGCTCTTTCCCTTAGACCAATATTCTCTGTAATGTTTTTCATTTCATGATAGAATGTGAACACTCTTCTAAATTTGTTCAGCATATCTTAAAAAGCAGGGAAGAGATTACAAACTCACTGAAGAAAACAGCAAGAATGTAACTCTCCCAGTTTGTCTGGGGCTGAGGGATTCCTGGGACATAAGCCTTTTCAGTGCTAACACTGGCAAAGTCTTGGGTGACTGGTCACCCTAAAAACAGCTGTGCTGACATGAAAAGCATGTTGAATCTTTGAAAGAAAATCTGACTATAAAATAAGACAGGGAAAATAACGTACCACACAGAATATTTTATTTTGGGGCACCTAGCTGGTTCAGTTGGTGGAGGATCTGACTCCTGATCTCAGGGTTGTGAATTCAACCCCTATGTTGGGTGTAGAGATTACCTTAAAAAAATAAAGTCTTAAAAAAAAGAATATTTTATTTTTTCTATTAGAATCTAAGTTCGCTGCGGGCAGGATCACTGTCTGGATTCATTTTTGTATTCCCCCAAAGCATCTAGCTCAGAGTCTAGTATATTATAATCTATTCAATAAGTATTTATACATTTATGTAATAAATGTGGAGGGCCACCGTAGGAAGCACAAATGGAAAAACAATAACCTTCAGGACTATATTTCTGTGTGGTAGAAAAACTGAAGTTGAAAGAAATACTAGCTTTTCCTTATTTGCCAGAGTGAGTTTATAAGGGTGCTCTAACATTTGAATATTGGAGCCTGTATATCCTTTACAACTCCCTGCCCCCATTAATATCAATACTAAGTAATAAGAATCAGGGAGGAAAACCCTTCTATCATAGATCAGCTTTAGCAATATGAAAAAAGTTGGGAAGAAAAAAGTTAAGATACTATATTATATTATCTCCACTAGGGAGCATGTAATTTATAATTCTTTACCAAAGAAATCTTATAGCTTATAAACCAAGTAAACTGGTTTGTGACTTTAAAAAAGGTACTAAGAATTTACTCCAGGGGTGCCTGGATTGCTCAACAGGTTGGGCAGCCAACTTTTGATTTCTGCTCAGGTCATGATGTCACTGCGGGACTGAGCCCTGCATTAGCTCAGAGCCTACTTGGGATTTTCTCTCCCTCTCTGTCTCTTCCCCATCTCAAAATAAATAAACATTAAACAAAAACAAAAACAAAAAAAAGAATTTACTCCATTAGCTATTTTACCTCATAATATTATAATTTTATAGCATGAATTATCTATTTAAAACATGCATTTTGAAGAAGTACAAATGGATTACCAACCTTAAACTGCTAACCACCAGGTCAAATGTATTTTCTCTGAAGGGAAGAAACTCTTCATCAGCTAAAACACTGACAGTAGGGATTTCCATTTCTAAGGTGTTTTTCTAGTGATTAAAAAAATAAAAGTTCAAAACACATTCATATAGAATTTCAATTACTAATGCAATCATTACTAAATTTAAGTCAATGTTATATTCATTCGGCAGTTTCTATACTTTCCAAAAAACAGAGCCACAGAGAAGCTCAAGAAGTATTTCTTATATGACACAAAAACTGGCTAGTGGGTTGGAAAAACATAAATAGGATCCTATCTCACACCAAAATAAATCTCAGAAGACTGAAAGTTTCAGTGGCATAACTGAAGCCATAAAAGTACTAGATGAAAATATGGGTGAACATTTTTCTACTCTTAGGTGGAAACATTTTAAGCAAACATGACTCAAAAGCCAGAAACTATAAAGGAAAAGACTAATCTATGTAATGATAAACCAATCAAAACTTCTAAAAACACATAAACAATGCAAGCCATACACTTTGGGAAATACTTATAACATAGACGATGAAATTAACATCCCCAAAAAGCAAACTCTTACAAACTCCCCACAATAAGAACATAATAAGGCAACAATGCAGGTACACACACATCACAAACTTACAAGTTCACAAATTAAGAAATACCAATAGCCAAAAGACATCAACAGCTGTTTGGCTGCATTCATAATTGAAGTACAAATAAAAATATCAGTAAAATTCTACTTTCTGCCTATCAAACTGACAAAGACAGAAACCATTGGCCCAGTACTGCCAAATAGGAGGAAAAAGTTGCTTTCGTATAATATTATTCTATCTTTCTAATGGAAGTATGGAGACATATATCAAAAATTTAAAGATGAACATCAATGCATTCATAAATTCCACTACTAGGAATTTATTCCCAGGGAGAAAAATAAATCAAAAGTACAAAGTTGCTTTGTATAAAGCTGTTCTTCCCAGTGTTAGTTATTAAGAAACTAAAAATCAACAGAAATTTAGCCAAATAAATCATGGAATATTCTTATATTAGTATATAGTCATTTTAAAAGATGGAATTTCTGTGTACATATATCATTTGTTGATATAAAAGAATGATATCCTGTGAAAAACATAGCATGTTATCATTATATCATTTGTATAAAATTACAGAGATAGCTATACATCTGCAAAGGCGGAGACCAAAATGTCACTAGTGGTTGTCCCTGAATGGTGAGGACCAGGGGTGATATTTTCTTCCCCTTTACATTTCCTGTATTATTTAATTCTTTCTATGTGTTATATTTATAATCAGAAAAAAAATAAAGCTATTTTCATTTTGAAGGAAATAAAAATAAAGAACTAAAAATAAAACCAAGAGATCAGAAATCAATAGTGTTAAGAAACTACCTACCAAAGCATTTTCTGCAATGTCTACTTGGAAGAACTTTCCAACACTTTCCTGCAATGGAATAAAGTTAATTAGAAAATACAAAAACTAACAAAAGCCCACTAACAAAACAAATAACTGCTGAAATTGCTCAAGGAGAAAGTGATAATTCATAGGTTAATTTTCAGCTTTGTAAGGGTATTTTTCTGAAGTAAAACCAGTATAGTACACAACTAGCATTAATAACACATAGTAAGTTACACACTTTGAAATTTAAAGAACCATGCCTATATTTAACGTATTTAACTAGATTTAATAAAATATACAATCCAGATTTAGTAATCAACATCCTGAGTTTACTCCAGGGATTAAGGCTTATGTGTGCTGAGAACTGGTCCTCCCCACTCCTGGGCCACAGAAGTCCCGGATAGTTTTCCTCTTTTAGTTTTTCATTCATATAGTTCACACAGAGTAAAGACGACATAATAAACACAGATACTTGGGGGGATAGAGGGCTCACTGGTTTCATTTCCCCTGTTTCATCTCTCCTCTCTCCATTCCAAGAGGAAAGAGCACTGCATCACTTCTTTCCTAGATTAACACTTTCCACTATGACCTTTTCTACAGGATCCTACTGCTTCCATCACCATCTCTATCAAATCTTCCATCTCTGTCTTCTGTATCTCCTTCCCTTATCTTGAAAAAGTCATGAGCTTCCCAATCTGGAGAGATCTCCTCACCTCTAACTACCATCTGGCTGTTCTGTATGTAATCAACAACTCTAATTCTCACCAATGTCTTTCTCCTTAATTCTTTAAAAAAATTGTTTTAATGTTTTTTTTTTAATTTATTTCTAGGAGAGAGAGAGAGAGAGACAGCGTGAGCAGGGGAGGGTCAGAGAGAGAGGGAGTCACAGACTGAAACAGGCTCCAGGCTCTGAGCTGGCAGTCAGCACAGAGCCCGACGCGGGGCTCGAACCCATGAACCGCGAGATCATGACCTGAGCGAAAGTCGGACGCTTAACTGACTAAGCCACCCGGGCGCGCCTCTTTCTCCTTGATTCTTGATAACCTATTCCCACTCTCACTGCTCATGCCATTTATAAATATTACTAACAATCTAATCAACTACAACAGTGTGTCTGCTCTCAGTCCTATTTCACTTGACCTGTGTGAAGTCCAGCTTTGTTGTAGTCCTCCCCTCCTCTGTTAAAGAAGCCAGTCCTTTTCACTTCATGCACACCCACTTCTTAAAGAACTTCCTGCCCACAACTTGGAAAGGGGACCCTATCATAACCTGGCCACTGCTGACTACCCAAGTGCAACTGGCTCTCAAGAAAAAAAAAAGTGCCCTGAGTACTTGTAGTGTTTGCCAATTTCTGTGGTGTAACTACTCTTCATTCTCCCATCCCTAAATACAGTTGTGGAAGGTTCTTTTCTATATTATTGCCCCAGTGAGTTTATGTTCCTATGGCTTCAGTTGTCACCTCTGACAGACTTCCAAATAAGAACAATAAGTTCCAAAGTTCCAACAACTTCCAAGTAAGAACAATAGCCTCCACTTTGTCAGACTTACCTTGTCTCACTTTATACTCTTGCTGTCCCTTTGGAGATAGGTATTATTGCTCACACTTTATAGAAACTCAGGTGCGAGGAGACTGAGTAACTGGCCCAAGATATATAGTCAGCAAGTGGCACAGCTGAATTTGAAATCACTATCTGTCCAAGTTCAAGGCAATGCTCTTAACCTCAACACCCCAATTCCAGTTCCACATTTCCAACTACCTGTCAGACATTAACACTAATACAGTCCACTGTTAACTCAAACTCAGCAAATCTAAAACAGGAATACCCTGTGCTCTTTGCCCTACCACTTCCTCTGATTTTTCTAGTCACTGAAGGGATAACTTCAAATTAATATTCATTTAATTAAATATAATATTTAATTATAATTATTAATTTAATTTATATTAATTTGTTAATATTAATATTATATTTAAATATAAATATAATATTCATTTAATTAAATGAATTAAATGAATCAAATAATTAAATGAATATTAGTTAAATATTCACTTAATTCGTTGTGTATTGTAGGTACTGGGAATTTAGCAGTGACCAAAAGTGAGCAAGTCTATGGAGTTTACATTCCATAAGAGAAGACAGACACCAAATAAACAAATGTACATCAGGTGCTAATAAGTGCTGTGGAAACAAATAAGGCAAATGCCTAGTGGAGAATGGGATCTTATTTTATAGAATAATCAGGAAAGTTTTGATGAGGGATAATTTGAGCAAAGACCTGAAAGAGGTGAGGAAGTAAGCCAAACAGATACCTTGGGAAAGAACACGAGAATAACAAGTATAATGCAAAGTGCTGGCCAGTTTGAGAGACAGTGAGAAGGTTAGGGTTGCTGAAAAGTAAGGAATGAGGGGAAGGAAATGAAGTCAGAAACATGTTAGGGAGCCAGATCACTGAGGGCCTTATGGATTAAAACTGGCTTATTACTGAGTTAGATAAGAAGGCAAAAGTTCTCAACAGACCACTGGCAATGAACTGACCCATGCTTTAAAAGGATTACTTCATTGTGAGAATGGACTATTGAGGGCAAAGGTAGAAGCAAAGAGGCCAATAAGGGGGCTATTGCAGTGAAGACCAACATGATAACAATGAAAGTGGTAAGAGGTAGTAGAGTTATGGATATATTTTGAAATCCAAATAAAGTTTGCTGATGGATTCAATGCGGGAGGGAAGGACACAAGAGGGATCAATGAATAAGTTTTCTGGCCTGAGCAACTAGAAGAACAGATTTGCCCTGCCAACCACAACAATGTTTGGGGAGCCTCTCACATCCCCCTCCTGCCACCCTGGCCCAAGTGTATGTTTTTTTGAAGTAGATTTTACACAGAAAGCCCACTTTAATAGGTGTCCAACACAGTATCATATATACAGGGGTTAAAACAATAAATGAATGTCTTCATGGTCTGAATTATAAAATGCAAAATAAAATGGTATAAGCCTTAATAAAGGCTACCTATATATAAACACACAGAAAGATTTCTAATCAAATGATAAAATATTTTTCTCAGCTAAAAAGTTAGTTTAATCACATTTTCCAAATGAACGTCGATCTGATTTTATTGTGAAGTATCAAAAACATTTGCGCAGAATGGGAATGAAGAGCAACGTATCTTACATAGACTTAAAGAAGCTCCTAGTAGGAATTAATGTATAAAATGTACTAAAAAAAAGAAAAAACACTTAAAGGAAAAAATACTTAAGAGGTGACATAAAATAACCATTGGTTTGCCATTAAAAAAAAAAAAACTTAGCAATCTTGATATGATCAAAATCTAAATATGATACAAGCTGAATTAAGGAAGATGTTCTATCTTTAAAATTAGCCAATTATATTTCTGAAAGTAAATTAAGTCATTGAATAGACATACCTTATTCAAATGCTGTGCTATGTAACCTCTTCCACAACCAACATCCAAAGCAAGGGAAAAATTTCTAAAAAGCAGACACAGAAGTTATGATTTGTCTGTAATAAAACAGTCCATAAAACAATTATTAAGAAGCAATTTTTCTTAAAGACCTATTAATGAACCCAACTTTCAAAAAGTTACATTATCTACCTTTTCTGCCTCACCTCACAAGCTATTTCTACTAGAAATCATATTGAAATAGCAAGTCTGTCTGGTACAGATATTCATAGGACCCCATAGAACTTCAATTTCCATGAAGTTGCTCCATGACGTGGATTCAAAGAACAAATTCAGTAGGGGTATTTTAATTTGATAATATATCCAAATAAAGAAGGAAAAGAAGCTAATGTACATTAACATGAAAATATCTGCATATGTATCTGGAACTTACTAATTATCTTTTTTCTCAAATTTGTTGAGGCAACAAGTGACCTAAATCATCACGTAAAATACCAAACTATTAATGTTAAGCTCAAAACAAAACAAAACAAAACACCAACTAAATAGTAGCTAACATTAACTAAAATCTTACCAGGTTCAAAGCAATGTGCTGAGTGCTCAAAGTAACTCAACCCGAGGTCACTCAACTAATAAGAAGGAGTCAGAACTTGAATTCAGTTAGTCTGAATCCTGAACTAGAACTACTATCCCCTATGCTATGTTGTCTTCTCTAAATATATGTCATTTTAAACCAAACCAGTTAACACATCTAAATGTAGGCCATCCACAGGTTTAAGAAAAATCTGTGACAAGAAAACTTAAAATTTTTTCCATTAATAACATATTTTTTATTGGACCCAAAAAACTCCTTTTTCAATTTCTGTTAAACACCTATGTCAAAAATAAAGAACACCAGTACACAATTGGAGAACTGGTGTGAGAAAGAACTATTTATTTACCTAATGCAAGCTATCTTGACTGTCAATACAGGAAGTGTGACACGGTGAAGTACACAGCTTCAGGATCAGAAAGATGTGATTTAGAATTCTGGGCCAGCAATTTACTGGTTCTGTGACCATAAGACAAGTGATTTAATCTTACTGAATCTGTTTCCCCATCTATAAAATGGAAGTTACTACCTCCCTCAAGATAATTTTATGAAATGGTGCATGGAAAGTATCTAGCACAGTACGAGTGCTCAACAAACATTGGTTACGAGTTGCTATTACTGTCACAAATTGTAAACGTATTGAGTGGACCTCAGATACTACAAATAAGACATTTAATAATCTGTGGGGCTAGTTTTTAAAAATCAAAAAAAGATCGCTGTGAATAATATAAATTACACTTCATAAAAACAGAACAACAGTGCAAGAACTGGTATTTACACTGGTATTTTTTGTTTTTTTAATATTTTTTTATTTATTTCTAGGAGAGAGACAGCGTGAGCAGGGGAGGGTCAGAGAGAGAGGGAGACACAGACTCCGAAATAGACTCCAGGCTCTGAGCTGGCAGTCAGCACAGAGCCCGACGCGGGGCTCAAACCCACGAACTGCGAGATCATGACCTAAGCGAAAGTCGGACGCTTAACCGACTAAGCCACCCAGGGGCCCCACACACTGGTATTTTTAATAATTTAATTCTAAAGAGTTAATGTTAGTTTAAGACATGCTTTTAGTCATAATCACAGGTCTCTCTGTAAACTGTTTTGCTCAGTACGAAGACACAAAAAGACTGTAAAATCCATACTGATTTAGAAAATTCAACGTTTAATTTTTAATAAATGGCCTAAAATCCAAGCAAGTGTAGAGAACTAGCTATTTGTTTCAGACCCTTAAAAAATGGGTCCTAAAAAAACAGATGAATGGGGGTAATTATTTATAACAATGAAGCATTTTTTTACCTTACAAAATTAATTCATCCCAAGTCGCTAAGTAGCAAGAATATCTCTAAAAAATGACTATGTTTTTGAAAATTTCTTTCATGTTTATAAAATTTCTTTTATAGGCAAATATAATAAATTCATCCCATGTTGGTGTAATTTAACAATGTCTTTTAAAAAGAGCAAAAAAAATGATTTCCTAACATCTCAGAGCAATTCTATAGTAAAGCCATTATTTAACCATCATTTATATGGTTCCTGCCATACAGCTGTAAACTTGAATCTGTAAAATTTTTGTTATGCATAATATGCAGCAACGAATTCATCAAGGTTTTAACACTACTTCATGAACGTGTTCTCTTCTCAAATCTGCGTCTGTATAATTGTCATAGAACCCTTACTGCCGTTAAGAATAGTTAAAATAGTCAAAGTCTCATATAACCTGATTGGGGAACAAATCTAGGCAGACTCTCTCCTTCACTTAGATAGTAAAGGGTTCTGTTGTTAATTTTAGTTAAACATTTAAAGCTAGATTTACTAAATCTTAAAAATTCACATGTGATCAATTCTTTATCTCCATTTTTGGACCAATGTTTCCATTAGTGGCTCTTGGCCAGATGAAACTGGATCAATCATTCAGGCTCAACATGTACCCCAATGTTCATAGCAGCACTCTCCACAATAGCTAAAACATGGAAAGAGCCTAAGTGTCCATCAACAGATGAATGGATCAAGAAGATGTGGTTTATCTATACCATGGAATACTACATGGCAATGAGAAACAATGAAATCTGGCCATGTGTAGCAACATGGATGGACCTTGAGGGTGTTATGCTGAGCGAAATAAGTCAGGCAGAGAAGGACAAATACCATATGTTTGCACGTATAGGAGGATTAGGAGGAACTTGACGGAGGAACAAGGGGGAGAAGAAGGGGGGAAATGGTGGGGGAAAGGGAGAGAGACAAACCATGAGAGACTCTTGAATGCTGAAAAAAAATTGAGGACTGATAGATGGGGGGGGTAGGAGGGATGGGCATGGAGGGCACTTGTGGGGATGAGCACTGAGTGTTATGTCGAAACTAATTTGACAATAAACTATTTGTAAAAAAAAAAAAATTAAAAAAAAAAAGACATCTTTACCAATTCAAAAAAAAAAATCATTCAGGCTCAAAGAGAAGCTAGGAGTTGTGTTTCTTTTTCTTTTTTTTTTTCTTGGCAAGAATGAAAAAAAAAGAACACTTGCTGTCCCATATATAAAAAAAGGAGAGACTTAGAGTGTGATTAACATCACTAATCCTGGTAATAAATTTCTTTAGATTCTGCCATTCCAGACATTAAGCTCTCAACATCCAATCTCTTGAATCTCCAGTCAAAAAACTGCATTTTATTATGATAATCATCACTTACCTAGCTATGTCATATACGCGGTCTGCAATCCGACTTCCAACCTGAAGGATTACAAGCAGCAATGATATATATATATATAAATCAAGTAGGCATAACAGAGAAGCAGCACTGTTTCTCCAGCATTCAACAATCCATAGATTACTTATGTTTCAATATGTTGGTAAGTGCTTCTATCTCATTTTCAATTTGACCACAAATTATAAATAGGAACATAATATATTAAATTATCCCAGGAAACAGATTGAGACAAATTTCTTCAGAAGTCAACTTAATGAATTCAAGACTAACTATTCATGGATATGGATATGTATATTTGACCTTTACATTCCATGTCCTATATAAGATCACAAGGATGAGAAAGTAACAGAAACATAACAGGTACATTATTGTTGACAGATAGTAGCATGAGGTATATGAAAGTGAAAAAATATTGTTAGCTGGCGTTTATTACAGATCGATGTATAAACGATCACTTAAAAACTTTATTACTTGAAAAGTACTAAGAAAGTCTGTGGAACTACTAAACAGGTAACTTTTCTAAGCAACATGTGCAAATCAGAAAGTCAGCCAAACCTGAAGAGACTGCACTTCCTGCTATTCTCCCCAGTCCCATCCCAATCTAAAAGAGGTAAGAAGGGAGGTGCCTCCTTTGCTAGGCTATCTTCATCTGACAGGAATAAGATGTGGGGGCCTAATATTCCTCACATTTCACTACTCCTTCATAAACACCCCAGAGTTTTTATTAGGACTTAGAAGTTCAGAACATATGTGTATTTGCTTTTGGGGGTAGAAAGTGAAAGGAAAGAGGTACAGCAGAAGTCTTCTCCTAGAGGTATATCATTCCCACTATGAATATTCTTTGTTTATATTAAAAAGAACTGTCGTACACTTTAACTCATTTATTCTAGTTCTACATATTGACAAGGCATCGGTCAAGTTGTAATCTACATGCTTTGCTTGGAGAAGAGTGGTTAGAAATACACATCTAAGTACATATCTTTATGAACCCTACAAAGAAACACAATCATCTGGTCAGGCCAGGCTTGCACAGAGTTCTGTCCAAAGGAACTCAAAAACTGTTCTCTGCTTTTCCTTGAAAGAGTTCATTATACTTAACTTCAGTTTTGTGTCTTCCCCAAAGAAACACTTACTTAGGCCTGAACTTGGTGCTGCATATCCAGAGAACAGAAACCCTTAGCCTCCAGTCCCCCAGGACATAGGAAGAGGTCTTTCAAACCAGCACAAATCAGAGACCTTAATTTATCTTAATTAACGTTCCTAAAACATAAACCAGATTCTATCGCTTCACTGCTTAAAACCATTCAACAGGCTTTCACACTCCTCTAGAGCAGTTGACCAACAGAAAAACATGAAAGTCATAGATGTAATTTTAAATATTCTAATAGCCACTTTTAAATAGAAAAAGGAAACAGAAATTATTTTTAACATATTCTACTTAACCCTATATCAAAACTATAATTTTAACAGGTAAAGATAAAAAAAAATTAATGAAATATTTTGCATCCTTTCTTCAGTCACTGAAATCCAGTGTATTTTACTCTTACAGCACATCTCAACTGGACTAGCCACATTGCAAGTGCTCAATAGCCGCATGTGGCCAGAGATTACCATACTGAATGGGGAAGCTCGGTTAGACAAGAAAATCCAAAGTCCTCATCTCTTACCGCCCTAATAATCCCAGTCCTCTCGGCCTGACCTCCTCCCCCGCTCTCTCCTTCACAGAAATTTCACGGGAGGCCTCAACAAGGTCCTTTCCGCCTCAGGGACACTGGTCCTTCTCTCTGACGAGAAGGCTATTCCCTCCAGATCTCAGCTTGCCTCATCGCGTCATCTGTCTGAGAGGCCTTCTCTGACCACCGCGGTCGTTAATACTTGACTTCAGTACCTCACCTTACTTTGGCTGAAATTATATTTATTGTCCACCTACTCCCACAAGAATGAAACCTCCTGAGTGTAGCGGTCTTACTCTGCCCAGGGCATAGATGTATACAATTCAAGCGGTATTTGCTGAGTGAATGAGTGAGTGAGTGAGTGAGTGAATGAATGAATAGTTTACAAATATCCGGGTCCGATGAATGAATAGATGAATTAACAGCTTACAAATATCCAGGTGCACTCCTTCAGTGATTACAGTAGAGGCTCAGGCAAGGCGGCTGCTCAAGGTCACACGGCGAGGTGGGTCGGTTGGGGCCAGGCCGGAGCCCCCAGACTCTGAGCCAGCGCTTGGCGCCGCCCTTCCCATGTTGCCGTGCGGACTCACCTCCTCCTTCAGGTAGTCAAACTTCATCGGCTCGGGCTGCCGGGCCGCCCAGTTCTTCTGTTTTCTCTTCAAATCCCGGTCGAAGATATTTAGAGCTCTGGGCGAGGTGTTGCCCGGTGGAGAGATGCAGGAAGCGACCTTTCTAAGGCCGAGGTTCTTTGCTGGGATCCCAAGCGCCGGAGGTCTCTGCCACCGTAGCCTGAGCCCCCAGAGCCGCAACATCTCCAACGGTAGGGCCACTTCCAGGCGCCTTTATGTTGCGCCTGCGCCACAGCCACTCCGGCGCCTATGCTACGGGTCGCCGTAGAGGGCAAGGGGAAGTAGTTTGGACCAGTTCTCTCGCCGTCCCTGCGGAGCGTCCCGCGGAGGATTGTGGGACTGTGTGGCATGTGAGTGAGACGCGGCGAGTGCTCCGAGGAGGTGAGTTTGATTTCAAAACGGGCTGCAGGGGACCCCGAACGAAACTCTGACAGGGTCTCCTTCCGATTCATGAGGGATTATGCCCTTTTCCCTTGCCATTCCGGTCTCGTTTTTCAGACTTCCTTGGTCTTCCCCAGGAGGGTCCTTTTGAAGGACCGCAGCCCAGTAGCTGCGCCCTGAGGTTTGGGGTTGGGTAGAAGATCGTCGTTCTGGGACCTGGTGTTCTCCGCGTTAGAGGGTGCGTAGAGGGAAGAGTGGTCTACGGGAAAGAAGGTGAGGTCAGGTCGCCCTTCTCTGAGTATCTGCCGTTTATCGAATGCTTTCAATGTAAGCATTAGTATTTACACTTAATAACTGGATGAGACATCTATTCCGTACTCATCTGTACAGAGGATTAAATGATTAAGTGTGTAAATGTATCATTGAATCATTTGATTTTCTTGGTATATAAAAATTGTTTTCAAATTTAAGGGAAAAGATATAAGCCTTACTTTCAAAACAAAGCACTACTACCCTGTATGATTAGCTCTACAGAAATCAAATTGAGATGCCAAACCATTAGTGAGTTTTTTGAAGGGAACAATACTGATCTCTCACCCACCCACAGCGTCTAATATGTCTCAACTTATTTGGGCCTTAGTCACTTATAGAATGAGAAGAAAAAATAGAAGTGGTAACTTGGACGACATTTTACCTGATTTTTGAAGAATGGTCAAATTTAAAGAAGGAACTTTGTGAGCTAAACCTAATTGATTTGGGTTTGTTTTGTTAGGACCCTAGCCCTGTAGAACTTAGGGCTGTCCAGAATAGCATAAGGTAAAGACTAACAGAGAGAATGGAACCAGAATGTGAAAAAAACAAATGAGACCAACTGAGGCTTGGGAAACTTTTGATTACATTAGCGTTTAACTTGTAACAGGTAAAGGTGTATAAAAAGAAATGTAGAAATTTTAAGTGAGTGCGATTGGTTAGTAAGCATTTGCCTCCCTTAGTAAAGCCCTGGAATTCTGTTTGTTTTTTCCTTAAATTTGTTTCTCCAAATGCTCTGTAATCAAAAGAGGATATTCTGATTGTTTTTGCTCTTCTGCATGTGACTACGAATAAGTTTGGGAAATGAAATTGGATGTGTTAACTTTATTTACATTTAACTAAGAAGATGTTAATTAATATTTTTTTCCCAAAGCATCTTATATTACTAACTTCACTATTGTAACATTTATCTTGCTTTTTAGTATTTGAGTTCTTCAAGCATTTGTTCAGTCCAGCATTTAAAAATGGCATCCAAACAAGAAATAATGAGTGACCAGCGGTTTAGGAGGGTTACAAAGGACCCAAGATTTTGGGAAATGCCAGAAAAGGATCGGAAAGTCAAAATTGACAAGAGATTTCGAGCAATGTTTCATGACAAAAAGTTCAAGTTGAATTATGCTGTGGATAAAAGAGGACGCCCCATCAACCACAGCACTACAGAGGACTTGAAACGTTTTTATGACCTTTCGGATTCTGATTCAGATCTGTCTGATGAAGATGATGAAGCATTGAACCAAAAGAAAATGAAGAAGAAAAAAACCAGGACTAACAAAATAGAATCAAAAAATCTAGTTGAGAAAAAGAAAAAAGGCAAGAAAAAAAATGAAAAGGATTCTGGAGATAAAGATGATTTGGATAACTCTGACAGGGTTCAGAAAATGGAAAAGTTTTGCAAATCTAAGAAGGTAGATTCAAAAGTAAGTCCTAAGAAAGACAGAGAAGACTTTACACAAAAAAGCACAAAAGGGGAAAAAAACATTCAACGTAGTACAGATTCATGTCCCAAAGGAAAAGTAAACACAGTAGACTTGGGCATCTCTCAAATTACGAAATCTCCAAAGGTCAAGTACTCTAAGACAAGAAGAGAAATGCTATCAGGTTTGTTGGGAAGAATTGCAGATTCTTTGATATTAAATTATTTTTATACTGATTTTTTTTTTAAGGAGACATGTAATATGTATTTTTATAGTATAATGGGAATGATCAAATGCTTATTTGGGAGTATAAAGCTCTGAAAGAAAAATACCGGATAGTGATTATTAATTTTTTATTTGGTGCTATTATTTGCTAGGAGAGAAAAACTTGAGGCCACACAATGATTTTGATTTGTGGTAGGGCCTAGTGAGAACCATATTCTCTAACCAGATAAAGCCTTATATGTTGTCATCACATACTAAGAAGAGGTGTGTCTGAAAAGGGTTAGTAAAGTTCATGCTTCATTCAGCTACTTGTAAGTAACTTGTAATGTGTCAGATAAACATGAGTAAGACATGGGCCCCCATCTTAGGCCTACTACTACTTTTATGATATTTACAAGTTAGAAAAAGTTATGCCCTTTTGGACATGCAGAGCTCCCAAAGCTCACAGTTTAAGGGCCAGCATCATTGAGTGAAGCAGTTAGGTTTATTTACCCTGAGCAGACATAACATGCCTGCAGGGTGTAGAGCTTGTTAAGTGGAGTTTGGCCTTGATTTCAGCCCTTCTTGGCCCTTTGCAGATCCTCTTTTGCAAATAACAGCCTGATAAACTCTGCATATGAAAAATGCATAATTTTGAATTTTCTAGTTGACACATTAAGAAGTAAAAAACAGATGAAGTTAATTTTTTTACTTTATTATTTTTTTAATGTTTTACTTATTTCTGAAAGAGAGAGACAGCGTGAGCAGGGGAGGGCCAGAGAGAGAGGGAGACACAGAATCTGAAATAGGCTCCAGGCTCTGAGCTGCCTGTCAGCACAGAGCCCGACACGGGGCTCCAACCCACGAACTGTGAGATCATGACCTGAGCCATAGTCGATGCTTAACTGACAGCCACCCCGGTGCCCCAGGATGAAGTTAATTTTATTAACATATAATATTTAACCTAACACATCAAAAAGTTCATTCAATATGTAATCAACTTAAATTTTAATAGTATAGTTTAGATTCTATTTTCATACTAGTCTCTAGTATAAAATTTGAATGAGCTGCATTTACAAGTGCTTACATGCTATAAGTGGTTGCTGGTACATACTGGACACCACAGATCTAAAGTAGAAGAAATTAGGTCCACAATATATGATAGAATAATGGTAAGTGGTATATGAAAGATGTTTAGCAGAGGGCTATGAGAATTCAGAGAAAGAGATCACTCAAGATATGGCAATCAGAAAAATTGAGAGAGGAAGTACTATAGTGTTTGGAAAAAGTAAATTGAGGGACCAGAGCTTTCATATAGAAAGGAATTTTTGAGCAAAGATATGGTTCGGTACATTCAGAAGAGATCAGTATTCCCATTTGATTAGATAATAAGGTGTCTAAAGGGGTGAGTGGATAATAGCTAAAAGTGGTTGTTTGGAACTAAGAAATGTCTGATTCTAGTTCATGCTTACTTGTTTACTTAGCTTATTAAAATTTTGTGTCACCTCCAGCAGCAAGGAATTTTGAGTGTTGGTGTTGCCAGTTGTTGATATTAATTGAAAATTGGTATTCAGGTGAGCCAAAAGCTAGCCATGACTATAAAATCCAAAGAGGATAGGCATCGGGAAGGGTCCAAGAGGTCTTGACAGGCTGAGATTACATTGGAAAGGTAGGAGGTATCAGGCAGTGGATAGAATTCAAGATAGCAGGGACTGTGAGGTCAGAGTGGGGTCTCATTCCATTTGCAGTAGAACCAGGCAGCGAACTGAGGTGTTTGGTTACTGAAATTGGAGAATAGATCAGAATAGGAACAGCAGCAAGATTTGTTTGATGCTGAGTTTGTGAGGTAAGTTAGTCTAGCCTCTTTTAAATTTCATTTGATGTGGGGCATTGGATTAATAAAACATACTCATATAATCCTTTGGATTGATTTTATAAAATCTTTTTATATATCTTTTTTCCATCAAATTTTCTCAATGAGCTTGAGAAATTAGGATAGATTTATCAGGAAACTAGGCTAAAGCGATTTATGTTAGGATACACAGAGCTGGGCCTGCAACTCAAGTCTTTGAATCTTTCTACCCCATTATGTTGCTTCCAGTAATTTACATCACTTCCATAGTCTGGAAAGGCATTAGGTGTAAATAAGGAATAGTGACTTTGTATATAACCATCTTTTGTTCATTATTCATTTGTCAGTTATCATTTCACCAACTTCTGTGTGCAGGGGTCTTTTTAAGTGCTACAAGGTGAAGGTGATGTGAGGAAGGAGAGGGGATAGGAGTTTGGTTACTGAAATTGCAGAATAGATCAGAATAGGAACAGCAGCAAGATTTGTTCAAGGTAAAGGTGATGTGAGGAGGTATGGTTTGGTATTATGTGTCATTATGATATGTTGATGCTCAGCACTTGTACTGATAACTTATTTTATTGGACATATGTGCAAAGAATATGCATCATAGCATTGTTCTTGAAATGTAAAATTGGTATAAACCATTAGAGGATTGATTAAATAAATTGTGATATATCCAAACATTTATGATACATGAAGTTTTGAAAATAAGTTATAAAATAGTAAAAATGATATGACAAGCTAATTAAAAAATTAATGGGATTATCATAGAAAACAAATTTAGGGAATTATATATCAAAATGGCCATCTAGCTATCTCTGCATGAAAAATTACTAGTCATTTTTATTTTCTTTATTAAACTGTATTTTCTTTTTTTTTTTTTTAATTGTCAGATGAAAACAACTTTATTTCAGATATGTTCTTGAGGAAATTCTCCCTCGCTTCTCCTACTGTTAAAATTTATTATCTGCCTTGTAAGTTCTTTTTTTTTTTCTTTAGCCCACCTTTTATTTTTATTTTTATTTTTTTTACAAATAGTTTATTGTCAAATTATTTTCCACATAACACTCAGTGCTCATCCCCAAAGTGCCCTCCTCTATGCCCATCCCCCCTCCCTCCCACATCCATCAGTCCTCAGTTTTTGTCAGCATTCAAGAGTCTCTCATGGTTTGCCTCTCTCCTTTTCCCCCACCATTTCCGCCCTTCTTCTCCCCCTTGTTCCTCCGTCAAGTTCCTCCTAATCCTCCTATACGTGCAAACATATGATATTTGTCCTTCTCTGCCTGACTTATTTCGCTCAGCATAACACCCTCAAGGTCCATCCATGTTGCTACACATGGCCAGATTTCATTGTTTCTCATTGCCATGTAGTATTCCATGGTATAGATAAACCACATCTTCTTGATCCATTCATCTGTTGATGGACACTTAGGCTCTTTCCATGTTTTAGCTATTGTGGAGAGTGCTGCTATGAACATTGGGGTCCATGTGCTCCTATGCCTCAGCATTTCTGTATCCCTTGGGTAAATTCCTAGCAGTGCTATTGCTGGGTCATAGGGGAGTTCTATTGTTAGTTTCCTGAGGAACCTCCACACTGTTTTCCAGAGGGGCTGTACCAGTTTACATTCCCACCAACAGTGTAGGAGGGTGCCCTAAACTGTATTTTCTTAATTTTTTTCTTGGAATGAGTGTTCATTACTTTTATAATGAAGGGGCAATAAAGCATTTTTTTAAAGTAGCAAGTTAAGTACTGTTTACAGTTACTGTAGAGCAGTACCATCCAGGAATAGAGATAATCCTACATTGTCCAGCATTGTACATGGTGGGCTCTTAGCAGATATTTACTGGATAAATCAGTACTCTGAATGTACTTGTACTGTCAAAAATATTAAAATACTAGATCTTTTTTTTAAGTCTTCCATGTATCTATTTATTATACAACCCAAATCACACACAAAGTGTGATAGACATACCATTGTCATATGTGAAAACATGGTGTATGTGACAGGATACTTCAATTTTTTATGTTAATACATGTGTATTTAGGAATAAATAGTTATTTAGGAAAAAAATGCAACCAGTACGTCATATCTATGACTTTAGAGCTACTTAGAACAAGCTAATTTTTTTAATTAAAAAATTACAGAAAAACATCAGTGATATGCAGAAATCATGCATATGGAATAATAATGACTGATGCTTGACAAATATTGCAGTATTAGATAAAGGTAGATCTCTGAGGTGTTATTTCTGAGTGTGTTGCCTAAAAGTGAATTCTGATACTTACCTCATAGTAACTCTCCTTCACTATTGTGGTGATGATATTTGATCCCATATACAGAGCTTATGATAATGCCTTTTTTTGGCTTTTTCACATCTACTGGCTAGTTATTTTTTACAATCCCCCACTCTTGTAGTATAAAATAGAAGCCCATTTTTCCCTCTAGCAGAACTCCTTTTCATTTAGTCTTAAATGGCATCTTTGTGTAGCCTTTCTTGTTATAAACACCTCTCTGCAGGTAAATTTAGGTGTCTCTTCCGTTTTACCTTAGAACATAACTTCATTGTTCAGTAAACAATTTCTTTTTGTATATGAACCATCAAGAGCATGGTATCGTATTACAAACCATCTCCCTTTTTCCTTTCATGAGCTCAATACCTTTTACATAGTAAAGTAGTAAATTCTAGGTCAGTGAATGTCCATTATAAGATCATAGGACCAAGAAAAAAAGCTAAGTTTGAATTTCATTCCAAGCATTAAGCTTTTAATACTTTATTTCTCCAAGTAGAGCTTGTAAGCAGAAGAAAACATAAGCTCCAACTTAAAGATGAATAAAATGTGTGAGATACTGTTTATCAATGTATGCATACCCACAGTAGAAAGAATCATGAGTTGTTTTAGAAATAGAAAATGAGCTTTCTCAGAGCTTTGAGGGCTAAAAAAATCCAGTGTAAGTAAAAACAGCTAAAAACACTCTTCATATATTGTTAACTGTTAGTTACAAAGTTCAGGATTTAGCAGAAAACCTACATTTTGCTCTGCATAGGTGATCTCATCCTTATCTCAACATTCTGTTATCACTGCACATGAATAAGTGAAAAATTTTATCTCCAGCACACAACTTTTCTGAGCTGTAAACTCGTACAGCCAGCAGCCTTCTTGATATCTCTTCTTAGATGATTTAGAGGCACTTCAGATTCAACAGATTGAAAACTGAACTCATGCAGTACCTCTACCAGACAAGCAAACTGTTTCTTTTCCAACATTCCATGTTTATCTGTCTATCAATTCATCCATCCATCCAGCTAGCCCTCAAGCCAAGAAGCTGTGATTCATCTTTGACACTTCTAAAACTTCTGTGCCTCATACCAAAACCCCTTTAATTACTGTTGATTTTAACTCCTGACTCTGAAACTCTGGTTAATCCATTAACCTCTTTGTATCTCTTTCTAACAATTTAGTGCCATCTTCATCTCTTGGTAGAAGTACTGTACTACACTTCTAATTTTCTAATCACATCCTCTCGACTCCATCCAGTCAAAAGTTTCTGCAGTGTAGTCAAGGTGATCTCACAGTGCAAATGTGATGATGTCTTTCTTTCTGAAAGCATAGCAGTGGCTTCTCACTGCCTCTGTGACAAAATACAAACCTTTACATGGTTTTTGGAAAGCATGGCCTGTACCTCACTCTTCAGTTTCTTACTTGACTCCTGGCTATCTGCAGTCCAGACATTCTTGCCAACTTTTTCCTATTTGTGGATCTTTGCATTTGTTTTTCTTCATGCTTGGAACATTTCCCTCATTAGTCTAATCTTGAATACTTCCCCTTCATTCTTCAAGTAGCAACTCAGTTATACTTACTTTTTTAAATTTTTTAATGTTTTATTTATTTTTGAGAGAGAGATAGAGACAGCATGAGCAGGGGAGGGTCAGAGAGAGGGAGACACAGAATCTGAAGCAGGCTTCAGGCTCTGAGCTAGCTGTCCGCACAGAGCCCGACATGAGGCTCTAACCCATGAACCGTGAGATCATTACCTGAGCTGAAGATGGACTCCTAACTGACTGAGCCACCCATGCGCTCCTCAGTTATACTTATTTAGAGACTCCTACTGTAGCTCTTTATGTGTATTGATGTGATTGTTTTTATTTGATCCATATCTTTTCATCTAGTCACGTGACTATTAAGTTTGTTCTCTTGACTAATAACTTCTGTTGCCAATGATTTTACATTGAACACCTAGCACGCATATTCATGAATATGTGAATCTACTTGTATCATATGGGTACATATCAAAATTTCTATTAAGTAATTTAGGCATGAACTTTTGCTCTATTTAGGGTTTTTTTTAGTCTTTTTCATAGAAATTACTTTCATTGGATTTGAGGTCAAAGTAATATGGTTTCAGTTTAATTGTGTTTACATTTTCTTAATTTCTCCCTCCTTTAATATTTTTTGCAGTGGTTCCGCTCATGGCAAGAGACAGTGATGGTTATGAAAACTTGACAGGTGGTAAGATGTATGACAAAGATGCTCTGGAGGAAGATTCAGAAAGTGCTAGTGAAATAGGTGATGAAGAATCTGAAGATGGAATTACAGGCATTGGTAGAAGTTCAGCTGATGATGATGATGATGAAAATGTTGATGGAAATGAAAATGATGATGAGGAAGAGGAAGATGAGACTAGTGAGAATGATGATGAAAGTGACAGTGGCCCTGATCTTGCAAGGGGTAAAGGAAATATAGAAACTAGTTCTGAAGATGAAGAAGATATGGCAGATTTACTGCCAGAGGACTCTGGTTTTGAGCATGCGTGGAGAGAATTAGATAAAGATGCTCCTCGGGCTGATGAGGTGAACTTTTGAATAAATAAGATTATTTGTGAGAGTAAAAGTAGCTTTTATGGATGGTAGAATTGATGTCATTAAATTGGGTGGGAAGAGCTTTTTTGGAAATGATTCTCATTAAAACTTCTTGATAATGGAATTGATTGTTTTAGCTGGTAGTTTTTATTTCAGTTCCTACAGCACCTGTTAGAAATGCTATACTGTGATCTACTTAACCTCCATGGTCGTGCATGGGAAGCAAAATAGCTTAACAAACTTGGTTGTTAAAAAGTCAGCTGATTATCATGTTCTGATCCAAGAACTAAGAACAATATAAGAGAAAGTGTTTATCTGTTGACAGTTTTACCACGTGTGACTGAACCAAAGTTTTCTACATATTGAAACTATTTAGATAAATACTATATTGATTTCAGAATTTGGAGGGAAAGAAGGTATTACATTTTTTATATATTTTGTAAGTGTGGGGAATGATGCAGATAATGTAATATTTAATTTTTCTCATTTCTTAAGATTACACGTCGATTAGCTGTTTGCAACATGGACTGGGACAGATTAAAAGCAAAAGATCTGCTGGCTTTGTTTAATTCATTTAAACCTAAAGAAGGTGTTATATTTTCTGTAAAGGTGAGAATTGATTTCATTTTGAAGTAAATTCTTCTAAATATTTTAAATCTAATTTTTCTTTTTTTTTTACGTTCTACTTTTCCTTTTAAAGAAAGTAATCTGGCAATTGTCCATGATAGGCATGAAACTGGAATAACAAATATAAAAGAAAGGAAGGAGTAAAATTATTGCAATTGATGGGTTAGGTGATTGTACATAATTTAAAAACCCAAAGAGATCAATTGAAAAGCTATTACAATATAAAGCTTAATAAAGGGACAGAGTGAAATAAAAATTTTTTAATTGCATTCTTCAAATCGTAACTAATTAAGAAAAAAAGTCCTTAGGAATTCCCCTAAACACACATGACATATGTGAAGTAAATGGTATCACTGGATAGATTTGAAAAACTTAAATTTTGAGATACCATATTTCTGGAGAGCAAGTATAATGGTTAAGAATCTAGGCTTTGCAGTATGACAGACTGCATGCACATTTCAATTCTGGGGGCACCTGAGTGGCTCAGTCAGTTAAGCATCCGACTCCTGATTTCAGCTCAGGTTATAATCTCACAGTTTGTGGCATTCAGCCCTGCATCAAGCTTGAACCTGCTTGGGATTCTCTTTCTGCCCCTCCCCTGCTCGTGCTTGATCTCTCTTTCAAAATAAATAAACATTTTAAAAAAATACGGATCTTAATTCTGATATATGCAATGTGATCTTGGGCATTTTATTAATCTCTCAAATGTGTTCTATCTGACAAGTGGATACAACAATAGCATTTCCTAGGGTAATTGTAAGGATGAAATGAAAAGAAACTCACATACAGTATTTAGTGTAGTGCCTGAAACAGCTCTAAATGATAATTCTGTTTAAAGATTTAAAGATGTCACTTCTATAAATTTAGTGTAGTTCAGCCATAATTTCAGTTCAAATCAAAGTAAAGAAAAAGGATACCAGTAATCATCTGAAAGAATAAACAAGTGAGCATGACTAATGCATTTTTGGGAAAATGTACCAGTATAAAAGGATTTACCCTGTCAGGTACAACATCTAAATCTTTTATATTGCTAAGTGAGTTAACAAGTTTGGGTAAAAATAGAGGGACAAATAGATGGAATGGAATAGATAAATAGAATAATTTATATTATAATTTAGACCAAAATATGTTTGAATACCTGATATTGGGACAAATGGACAAGTTTTTGTATGAAGAGCTTAGATCAGATCTTCACTTCATAATAGCCCAAAATAAACCCTAGATAAAGTATGGGGAAAAAATAAAAATCAAGCCACAGAAACAATAAAATAGCATTGTGGTTTTATTAAGTCTGTGTTTCAGGAAATGTGTAGTAGGGATTTCTAGACTTAGAAAATAGAAAAGGAATCAACAGATGTGACTACACATATATTTAAAACTCTTATGTGGAAACCTATTATTGCCACTCACTAGTAGGAAAAACTTGAATCCCCTATTTGGTAAATGGTATATTGTACAGAACTAAAAAAATAAATAAATATGTTTTAGTTAACAGGTATCTTAAGCCCAGTAGTATCAAAACAATACAAATATACAAATTAATACAGTTATATTTCTTGACTCTCAAAAGTAGCCAACATGCAAAAATACCAAATCCCAGGTCACCTAGGTGGTTCAGTGGGTTAAGTGTCCAGGTCTTGGTTCTGCTCAGGTCATGATCTCACAGTTCTTGAGTCTGAGCCCTACATTGGGCTCTGCCGTGACAAAATGGAGCCTGCTTGGGATTCTCTCTTTCTCTCTCTCACCCTCTCTCTCTTTGCCTCTCCCCTATTTGTGCTCATGCACGCTCCCTCTCCTCTCAAAATGAATAAATAAACTTTAAAAAAAAAAAACCAAATCCCAATGAGGGCGAATTCTTTTTTTTATACAGCATTGTATCTAAACTATGTGGTAAAATTATTTTCAGTTCTATTTAAAGGATTTCTTTTTTTAAGTTTAGTTTTGAGAGAGAAAGAGAGACAGAGTGTGAGTGGGGGAGGGGCAGAGAGCAAGGGAGACATAGAATTCTGAGACAGGTTCCAGGCTCCCAGAGTTGTCAGCACAGAGCCCCACATAGAACCCAGACTCATGAACTGTGAGATTGTGACCTGAGCCGAAGTCACACTGAGCCGCCCAGGTGCCCCTCTGTTTAAAGAATTTCTTAAAAGAAAGCATTGGATAACAGATACTGAATAAATGGTATGACATAAGAGATAAATTGAGTATTAAAAATTATTTTTTGTTTATTATGTGTTATGTACTTCAGTAATAATTTTTGTGTATTTTGCATCAACATTCATTTTTCATGTGTGTGTTTACATTGAGTTCCTTGAGTGCCTAGACTCTTGTTTGCTTTTCTTAATTTTTCCCTTGGATCCCAGAACCGTCTTGTCCCAATTGATGTATGCGGGAAATACTCTATTTTTGTTCTCAAGTTCCACATCTGTTTCATTCCAAAACGGCTATTTTTAAGGAGATTCCAGGATGTTTTAGCTTCCCATAGTAGGGTTGGAAGTGAGTCATCCTTGCTGTTTTCATTGAGTTCAGTTGTAACTCTTGGTGTTCTGGATATTGTAAGAAAGGTAAAGAATAAATTGTATTGATCTTAATTTTTTGTGTTTAGATATATCCTTCAGAATTTGGAAAGGAGAGAATGAAGGAAGAGCAAGTTCAAGGACCAGTAGAGTTACTAAGTATTCCTGAAGATGCCCCTGAAAAGGACTGGTATTAAGCTGTTAGAGAATAATAAAACTTAGTCTTATAAATTCATGTCACTAACTCAGAATTGTGGTCACTTTAATGTAACTAAAGTTTATGCTTTGCCTGCCATTCATCGTTAAAGCAGGTTGCAAAAGCAGATTAAAGTGTCAGAAGTGGCACACTATTCCAACAACGTTTTGTGTATTTACATTTCTGTATTCACAAATTACTACAGTTTTGAAAGAGTTCTCAGTTTCATTGCTCTGAATTACTAGGGGTTTTTTTTTCCCTGAGAAGTTGCTTTCCATAATAGTGGCATTGAAACCCTAATTGCCTTCAAAACATAATTTTTTTTAAATTTGAGGATTAAATAAAAAGATAGTGATAATTTTTTTTATCATAATGTGGTCTAGAAAAAAATTCAAGGTAGCTTTTCAACCACTAGGTGGAGCTGTATGCGCATGTAATAAAAATGGTGATTGAATAGATTGGTGGCCGAAGAGAGCCAAGAAGAGTCTCAGTATGTTGTTAAATGAAATTAAATTTATAACCATTTAGACTTGACAACACATAAATCTGGAATAAATATTTTACAATATCAGGAATTTCTTTGCACTTAGAACTAATGATTTTCTAACATAGTTTATGATAATATAACAAACTTATTTAGCAGTTTTACTTGAGAGGCTATATGCACTAGCAAAATGACTACTCAAGAGTTAAAATTCTAGGTAATCACATGTAATTCTTACACTCTTCTTTTCTAGATACTAAGTTTCAATCAAAATACCTAGTCTGTGCCTTGTCAAAATAATAAATAGAGCTTAAGTATTAACATCCATAAAGGCAGAGTCATGAAAGAAAGATGGATTGGGATGAAACAATTTCTTGAAACAATTACATTTGTTTTTTAAAGGAAGATTGGTATATGTGTTTCTAATTAAGCTTAATGAGTTTTCTACCTTTTAGGACTTCTAGAGAAAAACTGAGAGATTATCAATTCAAACGACTCAAGTACTACTACGCAGTAGTAGACTGTGATTCCCGTGAAACAGCTGGTAAAATTTATGAAGATTGTGATGGCCTGGAATTTGAAAGTAGTTGTTCATTCATAGATCTAAGGTAATCCAGTATATGTCTTACCGATTTTATCTTATAGCACAAAATCATTATAAGAAGTAAAATATTAGACTCATAGTATTTTATGTTGTTTCATTTTGTAAAAGAGGATTTTTTGCTTTGGGTGAACTCTATTCTGTGGAGCATTACTCTTAACGAAGAAAACTATAACAAGGAAATGCTGAAGTGTTATGTATGAGTCACCTCACATTTATATCCTGAATTTCAAACATACTGGCTGTGTTTTTAGGATGATGGGTTATATACAGTGATATTTCTTTCGCAGCTCTCTTTTAGAACCAAGAACCAAGTGAATTAACTTTAGAAAAAGCATGGAGGTAGGGGCAAAGGAATTTGCTAATAAACTGGTACCTCTAGATCTGTGCTATCTAAATACAGTAGCCACTAGTCACATCTGACTATTTAAAATTTTTTAAAATTTTAAAATCATTCATTTGCTTAGTCACTAGACACATTTAAAGTACTTTAACGGCCATATGTTGGATAGAGCAGATGTAGAACACTGCCGTCATCACAGAAAGTTCCTTTGGAATGTACTGCCATAATTACTGTCCAGTTATTGAATGGTGTTGCCATCATTGTCTTTGGACTTCAGTGTTATTTTCACCATGTGCACAGGCTTCACTGACGCGGAACTGAAAGCCCTTAGATGGTTGTTAATGTCAGTTCTTTTTTTTTTTTTTTTTTTTTTTTTTTTTTTTTTACGTTGGAGCCATTTATTTTAGGAGGATACATATCTAAACAGCCTCTGAGTGTATTACTGTGTCATAGATGGCCTACATTGTTGGTTCACTTTGAATTTAAAGAAACAGTAGTGCTCATGAGTTCCTGAAACATGACAAAAAATTAGATTCCAAATACCCTATTTAAGAATCGGGGAGCTATATTATTTTAGAAAGATTTAGTCAATAGTTGCTAAAAGTTTTCAGTCATCTTCAGTCTGGAAGATTTACACATATAGGATCTTTTCTTCTTCTTTTTT